CCATGGTTACTCTGCTGTGCTGTAGAACATTAGAAGTCATTGCTCCTGTCCTAACTCATCTTTGCACACACTGAGCATCTTCTGCATCCTCTCAACTCCCCCTGCCCATGCACCAGACTCTGCTGACCAATATTCTATGTAGAAGGCCTGAGGGCCTCATACTTTAGCACTAAAGAAACCCAGGTAAGTTATACCTGTTTCCACCTGGAAATCCGAGGATGGACGTAGCTAATAACTTGGTGATCTTTGTCCTCCCGGCCAGTGGTTCTCAACCTTCCTTATACTATGACCCTCTAGTACAGCTCCTCATGTTGTGGTGACCCCCAACCATAAAATTAATTTCATTGCTACTTCACCACTGTAATTTTCCTGCTCTTATGAGTCACAGTGTAAATATCTGTGTTTCCCGATGGTCTTAGGTGACCTGTGAAAGGGTCATTTGACTCCCAGGTTGTGAGTCACTGCTCCAGACTGCTGTGTTTATCCCAGACTCTTCCTGGACTCCTGGACGTTGTTCCTCAGTCAATAGAACCTATTCTTATGCCCATATACTTTGCAAAGGAGTTTCGATGCAGTCATGCCTTGACTTTATTGTGAAAATTGTCACAAGGAAACTTTTCCCCAAAGTTTCACCGTGTTTATATATGTCGAAAATAAACTTCTTGGGGTCAGACTCTAGCAGTTGTGCTGACCCAGACTTCCTCCTCGCCTCACACAGGTTGTTCCTCAGCTACACATGGCATTTGCAGGGACCCGACGATTCTACTCTCTACTTCTGTGAGGTTGGATTTGCTTTTCTGCGCTTGGCCTGTTTCACCTAACACAATATACTCCAATTCCCTCCATGGTATTTCAAATGACAAAATTTCATTCTTCATGCCAGGCGCTGGTAGCTCACGCCTTTAATCCCAGCACTCAGGAGGCAGAGGCAGACAGATATCTGTGATTTCAAGGCCATCCTGGTCTACAGAGAAAGTTCCAGAACAACCCCCAAAGAAATACAGAGAAACCCTGTCTCAAAAAACCAAAAACAACAAAATTTCATTCTTCAACCACTAAATGGCACTATACTGGCAATATAAACTACAGTATTTATCCATTTAGCCATCAGTCAACACCTATGTTAAAAAAACTATGAAAGGCTTCATGAATGTGCTTGTCACCTGTATTAGTTGTCTTTCTGTTACTACAATGAAGTTTCAATGAGGCAATTAGCTTAGGAAGAGAAAAGGCTTGTCAAGCTCATGTTCTTATAATTCTACTACAGTATCAGGTGGCCCAATTGCCTCCTGCCTGTGGTGAGATAACCAGATAGTAAAGACAGGAGTGAGTGTTGGAATGAGTGTTGAAACTGTGGTCCCATAATCCTCTTCAGGACATGCCCCCAGTGACCTAACTTACTTTCATTTAGCCAATTCTTGAAGGCTCCACCACAACCTCCAAAAGCTTCCTTTAACATATGGATTTCGGGGGACACTCATCTGAAACACTCATCTGAAATGTTTAAGTGTCAGCCATACCGTTTTCCTCTACCAACCTGGTGTTCTGCCAAAGCTAGTACCGCACTGCAGTGTTCTGTGTCCCTCAGACACACTCTGGACCTTTGGCTCCAGCCTGGGAGAAAGAGACAAAACCCAGTTTCTCTGAGCTGAGCCTCCCACCAGCCTCGGCATCCAAGGACCACACTCTGCCTTTGTACGTCACTCTCTGCCTTCCAAGGGCTGCAGACAAGAGTTCACACCACAGCCAGACAGCTAGCAGGACAAGTTCAAGGGCTACTCAGCTGCCAAGAGCATTTTTCCCACTGAAGCGCCACAAGCAGACAAAGCCGCCTGGGGCTCGTGTAACATGTTCACCGTATGCCGTTTTGAAACATCCCTGTTCCGCGGGGACCCTTCACAACAGTTTTCTTTGTAAATAGACCTGATGATAAAGACGCGAGAAGTCCTGGAGTGCAGAGGCTGTCACAAATCTCACGGACTAGCAATTTCATCTCATCTCCTGGGCGGCGCAGGGCGGCACAGAAGCCGCGGCTGAGTCCAGAGACTACTAGACGTCTGTCAGCATCTGTGCTGCGCAAACAGGCGGTCCTCTCCGCTGGACGGGCTTGCCTGCTTTAAGGAGAGACCAAAGAGCATCTGAATTCACGTAAAAGGACTGGGTCATGTGTGCTCTGATTTTCTCATCGTCAACCTGCTCAGAATAAATGAAAACTGTGGCAAAAAGAAGCATCCCCAAGCTTGCTGAGAGGCCATAATAAGGCAGACAGCGGCTCATACTGGGTTCAGTACGTTTTCTCTCAGTTCTGTAGGCTATAAGTTTGACACTAGACATCGCAGGTGGGCTGGAACACGTAGCCTCACGGAAGTCTGCCCTTTTACACGGGCCAGCACCAGACCTGTGACAACAGCACTGCCTCTCCACATTAGCAGAGGGTCTCAGAATGCACTCTGCCGCGTACTATAGTCAAGAAGAGTGACAAGCCCCAGAAAACCCTCTGGATGGCTAGATTTCCTCGCTGCCTCTAAATGCAGTGTTGTAGTAATGCCAGTCACCATAACACAAGGCTTCTGTGGCACGGGAACTGGGAGACAGCTCAGTCCATGCCGCTGTACCCAGGATCTTATTGGATCCAAAGGGAACCTGACTCCAAGGCAGTACTCAGTGCACACGTGTTCATGAACACCGTTCCCATGGCAGACTCCTTCCTACAAAGGGAAACTGCTGCTGATGCCCCAAAAAGGACACGCCAGGAAGACACCAAGCACTGGAACTGAAGAGTCACAAGGCTTCCATCAGAGCTCTGGACAATAAGCCCTTTCACTCAAGCCAAAAGTTTTACCACTTGTTTGCGTGGAAACAGCAAAACTATCAACATGTCCCTTGGCTCAAAAATGCCCTGTTTACTATGCAAGATACAGTGCCATGGGAGCATACAATACCCCATTGTTAGGAAACAGGATTCAAGCAAAAATGTTAGGGAAGGAAGCAAGTATCTACTGGCTAGGTTTTGCTCCATGTGAGAATAAAGAAACGCAGTTCATCTAATTCCTGGCATCTTGGTAATCAACTTTTTAATCTATTGTTTGAAAATGTCACACATGTTTATAATATGTTTTGATCATACCCATCTGCCTTGCCCCTCCTGCTGCCAACTCCTCTCCCAGCTCTCCCCCAACACATCTCCCTTCCAAGTTCATATCCTGGTTTGGTTTGATTTTTTTATAACCCACTGAGTAATGTCCATACACCTATGAGTGTGGAGCATGGACAACTGACCAGTGGCCACACTCACATAGAAAAGAGACTCTTGCTCCCCCCAGCAGCCACCAACTGCAACTAGTTCCTCACCTAGGTGTGGGCCTCATAAGCCTCTCCCCATTCAGTGCTGACTGGCTTGATCTTGTGTGGATATTGTGCAGTTAACCACAGCCACAACAGCCGTGTCATACCCAGAAGACAGGACTTCATGCCTCTCTTCCTTAGCTGGCTCTTAGGTTCTTTCCACGCTGCCCTCCACAATGCTCCATGAGCCTTGCAGGGACCTGGGGGGGCAGGGTGACATAGATGTCTAACCTGTGGCTAAGCTCTCACAGCCTGCTCTCAGCACTGCAATCCTGTTCTGGGTTAAATGGATGTGGAATTCAAAAAATTTTTAAAGTGGCAGCAGTAAAAGTTTTCTGAAAGCACAACTCAGTAAATCTGAGTTGTTTCTAATGGGCTCACTGTCACACTGTGCAGCCTCCCTGCAGCTGTGGTTCAGAGCATCACATGCCATCACACAGAATGACCATCCGGTCCTGAAATACCAGCAAATGCTGCCTGAAACATGTCGGCTCTAACTCCAAACTCCTGCATGTTGTGAACTGCAGTGGTTTTACTGTACCTACAAAATTTTCTGCTGATGTAGAAACATGGCGTTTTAATTATGGAAAGCAAAGACTTAACGTTTCCCCGCCCAGAATCACACAAAACTTTCTCAGGCACAAAAAGGAGGAAGTACATAACAAATGATCTAAGAAGCCCCTGGTCTAAACTCAGTTTACATGAGCACTAAAGTTGTCCTAAGTTAGTATTGATCTCAAAATTTAAAAAAAAAATGGGGGGAGGGACTGGAAAGAAATAAGTAAGGTTTATGGGGCTAGATCTGGAAAACCATAAAATGAAATGGCTGTGCTTGTGTTCTTTGTCGATAGAGAGAAAACCCCTGTATCTCAGTATCTCATCCAACCTGGAGGGAGTTCAGCCACTGAGCTTACAAACAACGTCATGACCAGCTGAAAAGTGCATTCCCCAGGACATAATCTCAGAGATTTCACTAAACACTGGTCTATTGCTCTCCAGTTCAGTCTTCCAGTGACACCACTGACTTCAGAGAAGGGGGGAGGGGAGTGTCCAATGCTATCACTGACTTTAGAGAAAGGGGCTTGCTTTGCCAAAGGTCAGCCACACCTCTTTATCTGACAATATCCACTAAGAATTCAGATAAATCTGCCATTGACTTGGGTCACTGAGGGGTCAGAGAAAGCAGTAGCTGCCTAACCAGAATAGGCAGAAATCTGCAACCAAATTAGTCATCATGTAAGCTTCTCTGTCTAATTTCAAAGTCTCTTACCACTTGGGGAATTCTTCAAAGAGGCGGAAAAACTGGCAGTGCATTGTTTGTCCTCAGGGCCATCTTTATTAAATTATAAGTGAATGCATTTTTTTCATGTGGAAGTCAGAACAGAGGGAGCTATGTTGTACTGTTTGGCTCTCTGTGCAAACATTGCTTTCAGTTGCCTTGATCATACTAAATCACCCCACTTTCTTTCAGCATCACATCTTCCAGGAAGCACCAGGCACAAAAAAAGCAAAGGTAACTCCTCCCCATCACCTAGAATGTAAATCAATAGGGACGAATGATTGAGTAGCCTTACATCACGTGGCCAATGTCTAGATCACATGGAGCCAACTTGCTTTTCTTCTTTGCTTTCTAACATGACTGCATATCAACGTTCCCTGAAGTTGCAGTAGGAATGGGCCTGCTAGCCTCTAACCAGCAACTTCTCAGGCCAGGGCGGGGACGTCCATAGACCCTTTCCAACTCTAATGCTTACCGCTCTCCTCCCAACACAGAAATATGCTTGTCTCTGAACACGTGAGGACCAACACTTCAGACTTCCAGAAGCCCATTGCAAAGGTAACAACAAAACGGCTCACATTGGTTATTATAGACTGAGTTATATAACAAGACACATGTCAAGCACACTCATGACAGTCTGTCAGCTCCAGAAGTATATAAACTAGATAATGTTAGTTGCTGTTATTCTACAGAGGGGGGAAACTGAAACTTAAAAACCAAGGAGTATGCATAATCTTGTCGGACCGGTACGATTTGAGCTGAGCTTTGGTGTTCCCTTTCCCTCCTTATGATACCCAGCACAAATGCCACATTGCTCTGGAATTAATATATGGTCTCTGTGAGATGGAGACATATGCTATTAAATACCAGGACATAGAAGCATCCAGCTTTCGGGCACATCTGGGTTTAGTTTGTGTTTGTTACAAGTCCACATTTAAAAGCCACTGTTCACTGAGTGTTTACCACGTTCTTAATAAACCCACAAAGCTATATGCCTTTAATCCACATACCATCGCCTCCTACTTCTTACTTTGAGAATAATATAATTGTACTTCAGATGTAGAAACTGGAGCATGGAGAAGTTAAAAGACTTGCTCCAGTCCATGTTTCTGGTAACTCCATTCAGAAAGTGACTGCATGTGGATGAATTCTTTTGCTTGATGCATTTGAACTTGATGCCCACAGGCCTGCACTAGTGTATCAGTTGGGAATGTTCACTCGGCTAGCCCGGCTCTCCGTCTTCATCCCTGTAAACAGCATGTCTATGAGGGGTCACAGACCTGGGTACCAAAGAGTGGCCTGTATTACGAGGTTCCTCTTTTCCTGGTTGGTGTTGGGACCCAGCCCACACTTGAGACAAGTCCATAGTCTTATAAATAATACATGCAATCCAAATGATCCAATTTGTATAAATCCAACTCTTTCAAGCCCTTACAAAGAACCACGGAGCAATGAAAAGAATGTGAACTTTAAAGTCACATAAGCCCAGTACTGTAACTGGCTTTTGTCTGTTTTGTTATAATTGTAAATGTTTAACTCTTCTACAGTGGGTGCAGAGGCTCTGGTTTTGCAACACTTGTTCATCACCATGGTATGAATGCCCCCACCATGGCTCATTTCACAATTTCAACATGCTGCTTTTGTGTATAGAGTTGGAAAGAGACAATGACAGTTGTTGGCTCCCAAATGCAAGCCATTGCCAGCACACCACTGCTGGCAGGTCTTAATCTAATCCTAGCTTGAAAATCCCCAGGGCAAGATTTGGGGTGAGCTACTACTTTCCCCCACTTCTGTAAAGCAGAGGATATGATACTACATGCAAGGAGAGTACAGCCAGAAGGTTGTTAGGAGGAGAGCAAACATCAGCTATCCTGCCTTCCCAGGGAGCTATGCATACAGAACCTTCTGACAAAGAGGGGTAAAGGAACACTCTGCAGGCATAACCTATGCCTTGAAGTCCATCAGAAGGTCTCTGTTAGGTGGACTAGCCATGTGGTAAAAGCAGGAGTCCCAGGTGGAAACAGATCTCATCCTGCAATCCTATTTTAAGTTCAAAGCTTTATCCCAGATACATTCACTTTCTGTCAATGCCATGAAGAAATATTGTGTATCTGTTTCCTCTAGGTTGAAGCATTCCTTCCTAGAGAAAGGAGGGAGGGTGAGACACTCCAGGAACTCACGAGTCTACAAGATTCAGGAAGCCCATCAAATTTACAAGGCCCTCAAGGCCCCCATTAGCAAATGATTGCTAGGAAGGTTAGAAGCTTGGGGGATGGCACAAACTGCAAAGGGGACTCCAGTGACACAGCTTCCTGGAGCCATCACCAGTGCTGAGGCGGGTTTTTGATTTTGTAGCAGCCTGAGTTGCTTCTGTAGGTAACCCCAATAAACTCGCTATTCACCAAGATGAACCTGAATGTGTTGTGAAATATGACTTTAACTGTGTAAAGGTGTGCTGCGTTTGTCTAACTATGTAAGTATGTGCTGCTGTTTCACTTGCCTGCCCAAGAATCTAATAAAAAGAGGAACGGCCAATAGCTGGGTAGTAGAGAGATGGGTGGGGCTGGCAGGCAGAGAGAATAAGTAGGAGGAGGAATCAAGGCTCAAGAGACAATTAGGGAGAAAGAGAGGCGGAGCTGTGTCTGCAGTTACAGACTTTCATCATGGGTGGCGGCCCTCAGCTACAACAGGTGATAGGCATGCTCATACTCAGGGCAAGGGCTCAGTTTTATATTGAGTCACAGTAGCCTGGGACATTCACTGGATGAGCTCAGCTTCCTGTCTTCCAGGTGTGTGGGTTGCACTTTGCCCCTTCTTAAGATATGATGGGACAAGGTGACTTCCTCCAACCAATGGCATGTGCACAGAAGCACCACGTGATCATGCTAAGTCAGACCGATGTAATCGGACTCTTAGGGGAGCTTTTATCTTGGCCACAAGGACTACGAAGGCTTTAGATAGCGTCTTCTCTGTCAAACAGCATATACAAGGAAAATAAAATAGAGCAAAATCTAGGGTTTAACTGCATTCGGTTCATAATGGGAGTTGGAAGCACATTCTAGCATTTTAAAGACATTGTATCTCTGACTTGTTTCCTGACCTGATTGGTACATGAGACAGCGATTGAGGGATGAGGGTGGGAATGGGAAGAAGGGATTTGTTTCTATAGCAGAGATGTGATGTGTGCCATCCTCAGCCAGGAAGGATCATGTGTCCATTACTGAACTGATGCCATGAGGCCAACTCTGGGGAGGATGTTGCCTTCTTGGAGCCAGCATTACGACATTTAAATGGTATGCATCCTATTCAGTCATATAAACAAAATGCTATAGCAGTTTAAAAGAGACCCCAACTGGTCACAGAAAATTCAAGAATGGCTACCGTTACAGACTGGGTTTGAGTAGACAGCCACTGGCATGTGGAAAGCTTTCCTGCCAATGCTCCCAAGATCAGCTCCTAACAGGAGGAAGGAGGCCATATTAGGCTGAAGGGAAATTTGGGCTACAATGGTCTTCATTCGCCCTCTACTGACTGATGGGCCTGAAATGACCTAGTTAGGCTTAACTGGGTGAGGGAGAATCAGACATGAGATGTGAGTGACCCCAGGAAGAAGAAATCTCTTGAGCTCAGAGATTGAGAGATTCCCAACTCAACATTTTTAGACCCCTAGTGACTAGCCCATCACAGAGTGACTTGCCCTTCTGCCCTCTCCTGAGAAACTGGAGACCTCAAGATAAACTTAAAAGATAACCCTCCCTTATCCAGGAACTAGCTCACCACATTCCTGCTCAATGTTTAACTGTACAATGCCCAAAGAATGCTTGCTTGAGATAACCTTCCTGTTAAGACATAAGCTATCATTTAACTTCCTCATCCTTTATGATGTTTGCCTAACTCCCCAATTCAGTTTTTCCCTTTTAAAGCCCCCCCGACTGCAGCTACTAGGGGTCGAACTCCTCTGCCCCTGCGAGGGTCATGAGCTCAGCCCCAGTGCACTGGTTCCCCAAATAAACCTCATGTGCCTGCAGCAAGAACGGTCTCTCTTCAATTATTGGGGCGTCAGCTTATCCTGACACTTGAGTGAGGGTCTCCCCACTCTGGGGGTCTTTCAAGATCTCATTAGCCTCTAGAAATCACTGAATGTGGGGTTTTTCTGCTACCTCCCAATGATCATCGCTCCCCTAAACTAGGGGAGGAATGAAAGCTCCCACCATCCACTGTGCCCAGGAAAGCAAGAAGAAGGCGCATCACAAACACATGGGATGGGGGAGGCTCAAGATGCAGAGAGCGACCTGTCTCCCCAGCGCCTCGCATGTAGAGCAGAGACAACGTGGTCCTGTGAGTGGGAAAGGGGAAACCCAGAATCTCAAGTTGTATTTATGGCTTAAGTAGCTGATTTGGTGAGCATGATGCTATTTAAGGCAAACCACGATAAAGTAATCATGAGGTCATGGCTCCACTCCGAGCGAGAAATAAGAGCCCAAGTCATCTGCGTTAATGGAAGGACAAGAATGGACTCATGTGATTTTAAACAGAAAGGACAGTGGACAAGGAGAATTGGACCACATATACCACAAAGTTAACGGAGGGACTTCATGAATTTACACACGATATCAGCCTGAGGGTGGTTCAAAGATTCTGTGGATTTGACTACTAATACCTGTGAAAAATTTGGGGAGATTATAAGACACAGGGCAGGACCCTATAGCTCATTATACTAGAATCATCAACTCTTACCCCTCCATGGTTCCTCAACATGAGTATCTCCGTAGAGCACCAAGCTCTGCAAAACTGCCTACTACCTTGGTGTGCTTCCTAAACATTTCCGTGTCTTGAAGAAAGGATGTAGACTTTTTCATTATTATTAAGGGATGATTTTCAAGTGGCAGCTATTTTATTAAAAGGGTGGAAAAAACGTGAAGAGATTAAATTGCAGTGGTGTTTTTGAAAGCAACTGGAAGCAATCAGTGTGCATTTGCGACCTGTTTGTGAATGTTCTTGAAGAACAGAGGAACGGCGCTTTGCAGTGTCCCGCTGTGACCCTGGCAATCTTAATAGAAGTGGTTTGGAGAGATGCCTTGTAGAAACTGATCACAAGCTGAAGGAGCAAAAGAATGGATGGTTGTTTTCCAGGCCTTTGAAATAGTCAGCTGGTCCCTAAAGGATACGTGAGCAGAAATACAGACCAAAAATTTCTTAGCTGCTCTGATCTTTGGATGTAAACGGAAGGCGACTTGCAAGCATAGCCCTGCTCACGGCTGTGGTGTTCTTGGCGAGGCTGTTCACATTAACTCTACATTGATCTTTAGACTAAAGGCGAGGCCACACATTTCTGTTTCTTTCTCTCTTCGGAATTGCAAAAACATCAATCGCAGTGCCTTTCCTCCTCATCCAAGTTTTTAACAGCATTAGCTGATTAAACTCTGTGTTACCTCTCTGGAGGAGGGGTACTTAGGACACCCTTACAAGAAGGCAGACATGTCTCTACTCAACAGAGAAGTGTGAGGACTCAGTCTATCAAAAGCTACCAGTGCTCAACAGAACCTCCAATGAGCTCAGCGCAGAAAGACGTGGCTGTTATTTCTGCTGGGAACTGGAGTGCAGCTCATCCCTGGGTTGAAATGGGATGATTGCGATGACCTTCACAAAATCTCCATGTGAGTCCTTTGTGGAGGGAGGGAGGGAGGGACTCATGAGACTCAGGAAGCCTTTAGGAAACTCTCCCCAAAACTCCAATCACCATTACATAAGAGTCAGGTTGGGGCTGGGGGTGTGGCTAGAGAGCTCGTCTAGTGTGTAGGAAGCCCTGAATTTGATCTGCAGCAGCGAATACAGCAATTATGGTGGTGTGTGCCTGGAATCTGAGCACTTGGGAGGCAGAAGCAGGGGACCAGGGTCTCAAGGTCACCCTTGGCCTAAGAACACAGTCAATTAAATTGATGAGGGTTGAATTTCTTGGTCATTTTCTGGTGGTGCAGCTGCTTTTGAATCACCCCTACTTTTGAAAGTTACCCCCCAAAAGTCAATAGTGCACCAAGTAGAATGTGTATAGTTCTCTCTCTGGAGTGAACAGACCTGTCTTCATGTCTGCCACGGAAAAGTCAAAACAAGACCAACCAAGAATTTGTCCATTGACCCAGAAGTTCATGGAGACCACTTGGATGTTGAAAAATAAAACATCCCATACCTGTTTCTATCCCAAAGAAGACTCTTAAAATGTTTAGTCTCTTTTCTTTCCTTTTCATGAAAGTACTGCGATTAATAGCCACAATCTGTTCATCAAAAAAAAAAAGAATGGGAGGGAGAGAGGGAGGGAAGGAGGAAAAAAAGCCTGTCACTCAAGGCTCCATATCAGTCACAGCCCACAAGATACAAAGCTCCAAACATACTCCCTGCATTAGCAAAGATACCCTTGCTTTCTATTCAGAGTCTGTTTTAGCAACCATATTCATCACCACCATCATGCAAAGGATTTTTCTTTACATTTTTACTCCTTCATTTCTACAATCCTGGTTATTAAACCATTTTTAAGCCCCATCCCTTGCAATTTGGGGATTGACACTGACGAGGTGGGTTGTGTTTTATTTTTAAGTTCTCACTCAACAGAAAGCCCGATTGCACAGAAAGCCAATCCTAGCCTGCAGGCAAGGGGATTTGGATAAGAGTCTTCAGCTTTGCTGACATGCAGAGACCCGGTACTAGGCTCACTCTTTGAGACGGTGTCCAGCTTCTGTACAGAATGTCTGGAAGAGACAGTCCATACCTGGTGAATGTGCATACGAGCTCCCCTCTGCACAAGTGTGTTTGGACATGCCCTCCTCTTCACCTTCCCATTCCTCTCACGCACACAAAAAAATTCTCCAGGAAAAGTATCCCAATCTTTTTTTTTTTGTGCTGTTTATGAGGAGTGGTCTTATGATGTCTAGGCTGGCCTGGGCCTCACAGCTGATGATGACCTTAAACTTGTGAATCTCTTAACTCTGCCTCCAGGGTGATGCTACTCCAGGTGTGCACCACCACACCCGGTTTCTAGGGTGCTGAGGATGGACCAAGGGCTTCATGCATGCTGGGCACACACCCTTAACAGCCGAGCCACATCCCCAGTGACTTCTGTGCTGAGGCCCAGTCTCTGCCTCCCGGCTCCCTCTCTCCATCACAAGAAAGCCTTCTGAGGGCTGGTAGTCCTTTCTTTCGTCTCTTTATGCCTGCCTCATTCGGTTCCATATTTTCTTAAGTGAGAAATTCACTAAGGGATGAGTTTGGGGTCACCCTGAGCCACGAGAGAGAAACTGAGACAGGCTGGGGTCATCCCCAGTCCATCACGGAGGCGTCAAGTCTGTTTAATTAAGGATTGGCTCTGGGGACCCAAAGGCTCAGAGAGGTTTTAATGGAGAACAGTGTTATTGTTGAAAACCAAGAATAATTATTTGGAGCAAAAACCAATCCCTTGCATCTGTCTGAACCCCTGTTGATTTACAAACATAAGGTAATTCTCCTCAGCTGACTTAATTCCTGTTCCCATTCAGTTCCCCCATGCTTTTCAACTAATGTCTTAATTCCCCTCTGTGCTCTCCGCACTACCAAATCAAAGTAAAATTTATCTTTCTTTCATTTGCCAAAGCCAAGCAAATTTGGAAGGGGAAAATTACTAATAAAGGACAAAGGATTTTAAAGAAAACGTATTGTTTCATTTCAGTGACTTGGAACAGACTACAAAGACACTTAATCACTATATTAAATCAAAGGAATGTAAATCACATTATTCACATTCATAAATTGCTGACAACACATGGCTTTGAAAAGCTCGGGATGGAAGACAGGGGGAGGGACAGAGTCTGGAGATGTGTAATCCTGGGAGTTGGGGTTAGAAGCGATTTTTCTGATTTCACTCTCTCTTCTCACAAGGCAGCCATTTTACAGCCGAGCTTCAGACCAGCTCCCAACTTTTATCATCAAGGTCTGGAATGACTGAGTCCTTTGCAGGGGGGTTGGCCCTGGTCACTCTAATTGTAGACTTGAAGCCCTGTGCCACCCTGATGACAAAATCAGACAGACATGTTTAGCAATTATCCATTGTTCAAAAAGCTCAATGAATCTATTGTTTTGTTGTCAGTTTCACATTTTGAATTTTTTGAGACAGGCTGTTGGGTAGCCCAGGCTGGTCTTCAGTTCACGAAGCATCAGCGTATTGAACTCATAATGCTCATGTCTCTGCCTTCCATGTGCTGAGACTACAGCAGCTTCTGCCATGACCAGAGATTTATGGATGCTGGATAAGTGGGAAGTGACTGTGTGTCCCTACTGAATCACAAAGGTCACAAGGTGGGGGGTCAGGGTAGAGGATAAGGGGGGGAGGGGTAATGAAAAAGTAACAACTGTAGGTGAAACCACCTGGAGGACTGCTTATAGTGAAACACTGACTCTCATCCCATCACAACTGCCACTGCACCCTGTTCAGGACACAACCTCCCTGAATCGTCAACCCTGAACAATCCTGGGCACATATTTCTCCCTCTAAGCTCCCTTCCTATCCCAAAGCTTGAGCTGTATCTCCCTATAGAAGGGTAAGGTAAGTTGCGATACAATGAACTCTTAGCCCTAACCCAATGGGTGTTTTCCAACTGCCACTTGGCTCTGCTGCCAGTTCCTCATCCTAAGACCTCGTCTGTTCTTGTCCCGGTGCCTATAGTGGCTCAACCACAGAGATGCTCTGTTCCCTAGGGTCTGCACTGAACGCACTCCCTTGCCACCCTCGGTCCATGTGTACAGAGACTGATTTTGCAGGATCCTGAGCCCAGCTGCCTGTGGTCTTGCAATCCCTCCTCCTCCCTGTTAGCGACAGAAAGTGAGTGTATTCTCTCCACTTCAGTTTTCTCATCTGTGAAATAGAAATGATAATAATACCTTCCTTACTGTGTAGATTTTAATGTAAGGTTAAAGTGGAAATAAGCATGCAAAGCCCTTGGCCACTTGTTAGTAAAAATCACATTAGATTCCTGGTTCTCACAACAGTCGGGTTCGAGAAAATTACCAGGAAAACTGGATTCATAAATTCTGAACCACTGCTGCAGGAGAAATCTAGAGCAGCTTGCTATGGGTCCCTGGCAACAGTAATTTCACCAACAGATCAATATATAACCTTTTATGTGTGCCTCTGTTTACAGGCATCTTGCTTAATGTATGCTGTTGATTCATAAACACTGAACTCAAGGCCAAATGTGCAGTAATTCACACCTAAGCAGAGCTTAACTCAGTGCGTGGTTTCTCCTAAAGCCCACACTGCCCGTTTTCATTAGCACATCAGCATGACACATGGGCCCTATTTCAACAAGCAACTCACCAACAGAAAGCCCACAAATGGAAAAGAAAAGAAAAAAATCCTAAATGATTCACAGAAACAAAAACATGATGTCTCCATGTTAGATGCCTGGGAATTTGCACATAAGAGGTTCAAATGTTAACACTCTGCTCAAATCCATGAATGACTGAGAAAGAACAGTGAATGTTGCTTCTCAAGTCAACTCATACACTTAGCGTGTAGGTGAGTTTGCAAATAAGGAGCCCATGAACCATGAGAGTCAGCTGCATTGTAACCGTCACTCAAGGGCACACACAAAGTGCTCCTACTTCACAGAGGACAAATAGCCCAGTGAGACCCCAGGTTACAGAATGAGGAGATGTAGATGACTTCTGGAATCCCACACCACATGGCAAGGACAACAATGTCACCCTTACCAACATGAAGGTGGCCTGCATCTAAAGGCTACACTTTCTTTTTGTTTCTCACTACTATTTCTGTGAACTATAGAGCCTCAGTGTATAGAAAACATTCAGCCGTCATTTGTGGGCATCACCCTTTCACCTCTCTCTACTGAAAGGCACTGAAGACCCTGCTCACAAAATAGGAATGACCTCTGCCCTTGTGGAATGAATGAACAGATTAGCACTGATGCATAGTGCTTACCTAGCACATGCTAAGACCCTGAGGGTACATCTCCAGCACAGCAAATGAACACAGAAAACTGATGGGGAAGTCCTGTGTATATGTCAATAAAGCACTGTTGGCCAATAGAGAAGCAAGATAGGTGGGACTAGGAGTTCAGGAGGACTCTGGGTAGGAGAAACACAGGGAGTCAAGATGTAGCTGTGATAGGGTTAAGAACTTCGGAACTATTCTCCAGTAAGAGAAATACTTAGATTAACAATTATGGGGTAAATACTTAAGTCAGAGCTAGCCAGTAAGAAACAAGCAAGGCCAACAGCTTCATAATTAATATAGCCTCCTGTGTGTTTATTTGGGACTGATGTGGCTTTGGAACAGGCTGGCGGGAAGGCTTCTCTTTACAGAAAACAAAATGTGATCTCGCTGAATGTAGCTTCTTTTTTTATTATCTAAAGAAAATCATGAAAAGCCCTGGGAAGGGTATGGTCATTACATAACAGTACAATCTTCTTCCATTAACCTCAAGATTCTGGGTAGACATGAAGCACTATTGAATTTCCTGCTGTAGAAACATCTCTAGGGTGTGGAGGGTGTTGGTCAAAGAACAATAAACTTCAGTTACATAGAAGGTATATCATGCTAAGAAAGTTTTAATTGTTCTTACCATAATTACAAAAATAATAATAGGATGAGGTAGCACTTATACTAAGTGATTTGACTTAGCTGTTCTATCTGTATGTACACACACACACACACACACACACACACACACAAACATTAATTGATATATATCATGAATAAAAATTTTTATTTACAAATTAAAAAGCAGAGAGAGACTATTCAGGAGACTTTAGCACATTCCTAGTAATAAGCTATAATGAAATCCTATCACAGGCATAGTGAACATTACAAGTTCTACACATTCATGAGGCTTTAGGGCAAGCTTAAACTTTTAAAACTGATACATAAAAATTAACATGCTGAGACTGAGAATGCTCAGTCAGTAAAGTGCTCGTGGCATAAGCAGGGGGACCTGAGTTTGAGGTGTGTGTGTGTGTGTGTGTGTGTGTGTGTGTGTGTGTGTGTGTGTAAATGCATGGTCTCATACATATATAGTCCCAGTGCTAGGGAAGTGAAGACTGAAAAGGTACTAGGGAAGACATCTCAGTGTTGACTTCAGGCCTCATTATCCATGTATACATATATTCACACACACATGAATGCATACAAACCCCACAGAGAATTATACATATCAAAAAGATACCATGCAGTATTAAAATACATACACACATATACATATAGATAGACAGATAGATATTGTGTGATGTTTAAATCTGTTAGCCATATTTATCTCCTCCCACATTTATATAACCATCTACCTTTCTATAGTTTTTAATTCTGGTTAGACAAAATCTTATCCTGGTTAGACAGAAAGCTAAAACATTAGTGTAAGCAATGCCATAGAATGTGTACAGTGTTACAATCTCATATCAAAACTGGAAAGTTTTGATGCACTTCTGTGAATCAGTCTTTGTCAGTTCTCAAAAGATTCTCCCAGGATGGGAAGATTCTAAAATATTAGGAAAAAAGCCCAGGATGTCTGAACACAGAGAGCTGGTGTTAGAAGACTGGCATATCAGTCATGAGCTAGGAGACCAGCTGCCAAAGTTCAACATGGTGCCAGGGAAATGCTGCGCGATTGTCACTGTGCTTCTAATGCCACGGCACCAACAAACAGCAATCTACACAGTGCGTCTAAAAGTGACAAAGAGAGCTGTGCTTTCACTGTCACCCAAAAGAAGATAGATGAGTAAAGAGTTCCTACCTCAGTAGGGGAGAAATGGAGACACATGCAAAAGGCAGTGTTAAAAGGTCCTTCCCTGGATGAATTGACAGACTATGGACACCCCCATGGAGGACCTCACCCTCCCTGGGGAAACCAGGGGGTGTGGGGGGTTTGGAGGGAGGGTGTGGGATGAGGGGAGGGAAAGGGAGAGGGGTCTGGGATTGACATGTGAAGCAACCTTGTTTCTAATTTAAATTTAAAAATAAAAAGGGACAAATGCTTAATGCTACTTTTAGTCTCTACCCTGACACCATATTTTTAAAAGATGGGATCTGGTGTGTGCATCGTTTACGATGGAAGGTATAAAACCAGAGTCAACTGGAAAAGAAGGTGAGTCAAGTGTGCTTTTGAAAACGATATGTGCACACAGCTCTAAATGGGATGTCTCCATCGAAGTCCTCTCTTCAGAGCTCAGGGAACCCCGAGAAGGAGGAGGAGCAAAGAGTGTAAGAGCCAATTGGGGGTGGCAGACGCCAGGAGAACAAGGCCTCTACATCAGCTGAGCAAGGCTCATGAGAACTCACAGAGATGAAGACAGCAAGCACAGGACCTAATGGGTCTGCACCAGGTCTCCGTGCATATGTTACAGCTTTCCATTTAGTGTTTTTTAGTATTCCTGAGCGAGTGAATAAGTGGGTCTCTGATTCTTGTGCTTTTTCCTCGGCTCTTTTCTATCTGTTGGTTTGCCCACTTTTTGCTTTATCTTATTATATTTTATTTTATGTTTTGCTGTCATCTCTTAGAAGCTTGTTTATCTCTAATGAGGGATAGAAAGGGAATGGATCCTGATGGGGGACAGGTGGGGACCAACTGGGAGTAAAGGGATGAGAGACTGTAATCAGGATATATTGTATGAGAAAAAAATCTATTTTGGGAGACAGACAGACACAGAGAGAGGCAGAGACAGAGACAGAGACAGAAAGAGGCGGGGAAGAAGGAAGTGATATATTCCAATCAGCAAAGGACAGGAGGACACATTTCATGGTGGGCTGACAGTTTCCAAACTGACACATCTATAAAATACTGAGAAGACGATTCTATGGAACAGAATCCATTAAGGATACGTCTGACGTGTGGTATTTTTGCAGGTTCATCTTTACTCCTTTCCTTTCTTGACACTATATGAGTTGAAAAGTTAGGAGTGGACAAGTTGAGAGGGTAAAAACTGATAAAGGCACCCGTGGGGGCAAGCCTGAAGACTCAAGTTCCAGCCCCCAGATCCAGAGATAGAGAGAACCCTCAAAAGTCCTATGACCTCCACACAAGCTAAAATTCAGGGTACATGTTCACCCACAGTTACACACACATACCTCATGCATATGTGTGTATAAGCCCATGCACATTTTTAAGCCACCTAGAACCATTGCAACTGCAGTTCCCATAACCTAAGTTAACTCTGTCTGTCTGACTCTTAAACATTGCTCATGACTCATGTTTATACAGCTCTCTTCCCACTAGAACTCATACCTAACCCTGAATTTTAGCTTGTGTGGTGAGTCCTGGCAAGAGTCCCCCCATCCCTGATCTTTGACCATCCTGGGCTCTGAATGCGGCCCTCAAATCTCCCGAGAATGGAAACTTAATCTCCAAACTCATGTGCCATTCTTACTTAGCGATCAGGATTTAGAAGTAATTGGGTCCAGGTGAGGTCTGGTCCCATAACCCAGTGGGATCACCGGATCTTTAGAAGACTAGGAGACCAGAGCTGGCACACTTACTCTGCCCCCTTAAGTGATGGCATCTGCCATATTGTGATACTGCAGCAGACCCTCACCGGCAGGACCATGAGCTAGATAGACTTCAGCTCTCCATAAATTATCTACTCTCTGCTCTTTTGTTACAGTAACAAAAGATTGATACCTTTGATAATCTGATCACAGTTCTTATCTTTCACCTTTGATATGGAATCCGATCATTCTGGCCTCTCTCCAGCAAGAATTCTGTTCAATTGTTTTTAAAAGCAATAATCTCCAGTGCTTGAGTCTTGGTAACATTCCACCCACCACACCCATCCTCCACCACTGTGCACTTCAGGTAGAAATTCCTGCTTGTTTTTGTGGGAAGAATGCAGTTCATTTTCACCCATGCATCTCCTCCCCTTACTATCAATTCTGCTTCCCAAATCAAAACGTTTGTTTTTACTTCATTTAGCTCATATCAAAGCTGGTTGTCTTTGACAATACACCGTGTGGTTTGGCATTTGCCTTTGTCCTCTGTATGTTCTACAAAATTAGGTCTAAGAAAGCTCATCAGACTTGGGTTCAGTTCTTTGGGAAAAATAAAGGCATAAGCGGTGTGCATGGCTTTCATTAGGAGTCATTCTGTATGTCTTCATTCCCTGATGTTACTAATCTTTCATACTGAATGTCTGCATCTCTTAATGGTGATATTCTAGTCCTGTCTCTATTTTTCCCTCGTTAATTAAGATGCCACTGTGATGAAATCATATCGAAACATTTCCCATTTACTCTACATCTACCCAACACTATATTTCATATAGGAAAATTATAAAAAGTTGTAGAGTGAAGCCTTTTCCTTGCCATCCATTTGGGTTTTCCCCACTAGTCACCTGGGCTCTGCCACGTTGTAGTCCCCCAAATAACACACAAAACGCTGTATTAATTATGAAGCTGTTGGCCTTGCTTGTTTCTTAGTGGCTAACTCTGACTTAAGTATTTAACCCATTTAAGTATTTCTCTTACCGGACGGACATCTTACTTCTCTGAAGGGCTACATGATGACTCCTTGTGTTTCTCCTCCCCAAGTCCTAGTCCCACCTATCTTGCTTCCCTATTGGCCAACAGTGCTTTATTGACATACACACAGGACTTCCCCATCAAAAAGTGCCTTATGTTTACCTTCCTCACATTTGAAAACAATAAACTTCTACCACCCATGAAAAATGAAAAAAATAGTTATCATTATGAGTTCATGAACTTAAACACATCAGTAAGCTTTATTTGAACAAAATCGCTATTCTTGCTGTGGTTCAAGTGTTGCCCTTGTGTCTAGTGAAAGCTTCGTGTGAGGGGAAAAGGGAGGGAAGTCTTATTCACCTTATGGTTTGGAAGGTCCCAGTTTGTCATCACTAATCCTTAGCCTCTGGTTCTGAGATGAAACTTCCATCACAGCAGAAGGGTGTGGCAGCTAGGAAATACACAGGGTGAGCAATGAAGGTGTGTAGCGGGAAGGAGTCCCCTATCAGGACACACCCGGCCACTCCTTCAGTGAGCCCTGCTTCCTGCAGGCTCCACAGCCTCCTGATAGTGCTCTGAGCTGGCAGTCAAGCCTTTAATGCTTGGCCTTTGGGGAATCAAAGCTCCTCCTAAGTGCTTTTCACGTACACTTCACAGCCTTTAACAGCTTCCCCAGATCTCCAGGAAAGGTGTTTGGGTTTCATTTTCTACACTTCTTGCACCAGAACAGAAGCTTTCAAGGGTCTCTGGCTTCTATCCAGACCATTGCTGTTCACTAACGGAGTTTGTGACATTAGGTTAGCCTTCCTGGCCCAGCCTCTGCAGTGAAAAGAGCTAATAGCAGATGTTTATACTTACATGCTTAGAAATGAAGTATTCCATCAACCCGGACTCTTCTGGGTTGCATCTGCTTCTTCTTTGCTCCAGGTCAAGACTCCTGATTTTGAAGGCTGTATGGGTGACAATGAAATAGTCTATGATGACTCACACAAACACCTCATATTAAATTCTCAATAGTATCAAGGAAATTATTCTAGCCCCAAATAATTAGAATTCTGTATTTGCTTTCACCAACACACCTCTGTTTATAATCTGCTATATTTTAAGTACGGCATATTGAACTGTCCCTCAGTATAAACTGTGTGAGTAAATATTTAATGGTCATCACCAGTCAATATGGTAATATCTTTCTAGACATTGTTTGCATCTAAGTTGTAAGGTAAGAATGATATGCAGGGGCTGGAGAGAAGGCTCAGTGGTCAAGAACACCAGCTGCTCCAGAGTTCAGTTCTCAGCACCTGTGTCAGGAGGCTCACAACCACCTTTAAGTCTAGCTCCAGATCTGACACCCCTTCTGACCTCCACAGGCACCCATACACACATGGCATACACTTATATAGACACATAGATCATAAATAGATATTTTAAAAAGAACAACATACCAAGTCTTTGATTGGTGGTAACATTTTTTCTATTTTGTTATTGATAATGAGTTTTAATTGTTACAAAATACTTGGTCCATATTTTCTTCTTCAACAGTTTTAAATGTTATTTTATTTTGTGTCAAGGTGTTTGTCCAACCAAATTGATATTCTCCACTATACCACATATTACCTGTAAGCTCTTTTTATGAAAATTAATATTTGGTATTATTGTGTTGTGATACACACGTAGATGCATGCAGAAATGAGGGGCAGGTTTGGGGGAGTTTGGGAAGTCAGCACCTCACTTAGCCACGGGCCCCAGGGACTGAACTCAGGTCTTCAGGCTTGCACAGCAAGCGGCTCTATCTGCTGAGCCATCTCACCAGTCACAGTGTTTCCAATGTATTTTAAACCGTCTTTTCTAATCTCAGGAAAGTTTTCTTCACTCATGTCTTAATATTCGATCTCGTCTCTTGCTATGCTTTTCCTTTTCAAAGCCCTAACCTGGACCATCTTGCACACACTCTTCTTTTCCACGGTTGCCTACATTGTTGATGTTGCCGATACATTTTTACCATTCCCAGCCTACATATCTCTGCAGACACCATCCTCTATCTTTCTTCTCCTGTCCCTCTTAGCTTTCTCGATGAGCATTGAGTTACACCAGAACCTTGGCTATGACAGCAAAGATCTGGGGGACATGAGGTCTGGTTCCAGATGCTCACCAGCTAACTAGTCAGCAATGGGCCCACCAGCTTTGAGGCCGAAAGTTAAATTCCCCCCCCAAAGAAATCTAGAGCATCTATAAACCTAAGAAGTATCGATCCTCTCTCTCTCTCTCTCTCTCTCTCTCTCTCTCTCTCTCTCTCTCTCTCTCTCTCTCCTTCCTCCCTTCACATGCAATTCTACCACCACCAACTCCGAAACAAACAAAAATGAGCAATCAATGGTCATTAATATCCCTCAATATTAATGGTCTTAATTCCCCCATAAAAAGACACAGGCTAACAGAATGGATACGATATGAAGACAGAATCCATCCTTCTGCTGCATACAAGAAACACACCTCAACTTCAAAGACAGACATTACCTCAGAGTTAAGGTTTGGGATAAGATTTTCCAATCAAATGGACCCAAGAAACAAGCAAGGGTAGCAATCCTAATATCTAACAAATTAGACTTTAAAATAAAATCAATCGCCGGGCAGTGGTGGTGCACGCCTTTAATCCCAGCACTCGGGAGGAAGAGGCAGGCGGATCTCTGTGAGTTCCAGGCCAGGCTGGACCAACAGCCTCAAAAACAATACAGAGAAACCCTGTCTCATAAAACCAAAAAAAGTAAAATAAAATAAAATCTATCAAGAGAGATGAAGGAGGTCATTTCATACTCATCACAGGAGAAGTCCACCAAGAAGAAGCATCAGTTTTGAACATATATGCCCCAAATACAAAAGCATCCACGTTCGTAAAAAAAAAATTACTAAAACTCAAATCATACATAAAACCTCAAACACTTATAGTGGGAGACTTCAACACTCCACTCTCAACACTAGACAGGACCACCAGACAGAAACTTAACAAAGAAGCAAAGGAACTAATAGAAGTTATGACCCAATTGGGTTTAACAGATATCTATAGATCATTCCATCCAAACACAAAAGAATATACCTTCTTCTCAGTGCCACATGGAACCTTCTCAAAAATCGAACACATACTTGGCAACATATCAAACCTCAACAGGTACAAAAAATTGGAATAACTCTATGTATCTTATCAGACCACCATGTGTTAAAGTTAGAAGTCAACAACAACACAAATTGCAGAAACCCTACAAAACTCATGGAAATTGAATAATGTGCAATTGTGCCATTCCTGGGTCAAAGAAGAAATAAAAAAGAAATGAAAGACTTTCTAGAATTCAATGAGAATGAAGACACAACATACCCAAATTTACGGGACACTTTGAAAGCAGTGCTAAGAGGAAAGTTCACAGCACTAGGTGCCCACATGAAGAAACTGGTGAATAGTCACACTAGAGAATTAACAGCACAACTGATAGCCCTAGAACACAAAGAAGTAAACTCACCCAACAGGAGTAGTTGCCAGGAAATAATCAAATTGAGGGCTGAAATCAATAAAGTAGAAACTAGGAAAACATACAAAGAATCAATGAAACAAAGAGTTGGTTCTTTGAGAAAATCAAAAAGATAGACAAACCTTTATCCAAACTTACCAAATGACAGAGTGTGAACATACAAATTAACAAAATCAGAAATGAAAAGGGGGACATAATAACAAACACTGAGGAAATCCAGAGACTCATCAGGTCATGCTTTGAAAACCTGTACTCCACAAAATTCAAAAATTTAAAGGAAATGGATAATTTTCTGAATAGATATCACTTGCCAAAATTAAATCAAGAACAGATAAGCAATTTAAATAGACCTTTAACCCCTAAGGAAATAGAAGCAGTCATCAAAAGTTTCCCAACCAAAAAAGGCCCAGATCCAGATGACCTCAATGCAGAATTCTACCAGAAATTCAAAGAGCAGCTTATACCAATTCTCCTCACATCTGAATCTGAAACACACCACAGAATACAACCCAGTAGGTTCTGATGAATCCTCAAACATCCTGACCGCTTTGAAAGGATGCTCAGGTTTCCTCCTTGGAACCCTTGAAGATCTTCATGAGTCTTATTATTTCTTTCTTCTTTCCATCATGTGACCTGGTATATAAACACAGGGCAACAATCCAAAGACTCATTAGGGACCTCTACAACAACTGTGGACAGCGTATCTCCCTACAAACCCTCAAAGACAAGTATCGTGGAAACTACTCAGTGAGCTACAAATCCCTCCTGGAACCATCATTTATGCAAGAAGCAAGGAGTGAGTTGGCAAAAGACGCCCCGGAAAGCAGACGCTGTGGTGGGCACTTGTCAGCTCTATGGGATTCCTGCCACGTCTAATCCGTTATGGAAACAGCATCAATAGCATCCAGGCTCCTCAGTTATCAGCCACAAGCAATAAATGAGATGGAAAGGAAATCTATAAAGTAAAAAGACATTTAAAGAGACATATCAGCCAGGGAGACAGATGGGGCCTTTTGGGAGAACCAATTCAAATAAACCAATTAAGACATATTTAAAAGACTCTGGTGGGAGATGAACAAAGAATGGTTATTTAATTACTTTAAGGAATCATTTATTTAGATGTGCTGATGATACCATGCCTATGCTTCCTTTTAAATGTGTGTATGAGGTGTGGTGAGTGTGAGTGCATGCCTCCGTGTGTGTGTGTGTGTGTGTGTGTGTGTGTGTGTGTGTGTGTGTGTGTGTCCATGTGTGAAAGTGAAGCTCAGAGGACTTTAGGTGGCTTCCTCTGTCACTCTCTACCTTAATTTTCTGGACCATTTCAGCTTGGCGGGCTGGCCAACAAGCTCCTAGGAGCTGTCTGTCTCCACCCTCCAGTGCTGGGGCTACGGGCACACTCAGACATGCCTGACTTTCACATAGGTGATGAGGACTTGAACTCAGGTCCTTATGCTTGCTTGCTTTCGTAGCAAATACTCTTACCCACAAAGCCATCTCACTAGCCTCCGGCCACACTTTCTGAGACAATCTTCATTTTCCAGAGCTGTATCTTGAAATAATTTCAGAACCAATAATGTGAAGAATAAGCCATTTTGGAGAGAGTGTTTGGGAATGTGTCTGAAAGACTTCTGTCCATGAGCTGACAACCACTGGCATGGGTGACCACACTAGTTTCTATTCTTCCAAATACTTCATTATTTCCCTCAGTGAAAACCTAAAAAGGAAATATGCAGTCAAACACATATTTAAAGAGATTAGTTGGAAGAATATTATACCCACTGAAGGTGGCATATGTATTCAGTGAAGGTTCACAATGAGGTTGAGGTAGATACAAACTTGGGCATCAAAAAAACCCCCACACATAACATCCAGTATTCCTCGGTATGCTAAATAATGCATTGGTCTCTCAGAGACTAGTTCTAAAAGCAATTAGTGAAGCAGTTTTAATCCTTCTTATATCCTATAGAGACATTTTTTAAAAAAATAGAAAGTCACCATCCAGTGATTTTTTTAACTAGAATTTGATAAAAGAAATTGGAATGCATTTATTAGCAACATACATAGTAAGGCAGTTCAGAGAAACACTATCTGTGCTGCTGAAAAAAATAAAATTGCAGATCAGAAAGCTACAAAAATTAGGAAGCAAGGTGATTACAGATGAAAGGCTGAGCATAGAACGGGAAAGCAGCTGAACCGCTGTGCACATCTGTTGTGGGGAAACATCCACAGCCAGCCCTCGGCAGGAAGGGACAGTCTCATCTGCGCACCTCATTTTACACCAGCTAAGCCCGGAACCTAGGTTTTCAACTATGTCGCATACACCAAATTATCTCCAGGGTCAGGCGTGGAGATTTATATAAGAAAGAGTGCTTTGTCAGCCAGTGAAGCCAACACTTTCCTTCAGCTAAAGGGACTGCAGTTCCTGGCCGAAATGTAAGATGAATAACCCTGACTCTAGGGCTGGAGCTCCGGGCCCTGTAGTTAAAGGAGAGCATGGTGCAACTCCTGGAAACAAGGTTTCTTTACCACATTCCTAAAGCGACTTTGAACTAAGGGCTCAGCAACTTCGTTCTGTCTCATCTCGGGGCCAAGAAGAAATCAAGAGTGTATTGGCCTCGGGGTTTCATTGTGACTCTTGTTTGAGAAACACTGTTTTCTAAACAAGCCTGTTTCTAGTAGCTTTAATTTAAAAATCAGGGGCAGGTGAGATGACTCAGCATGTAAAAGTGCCTGCCAACAAGCCTGATGACCTGAGTTCAATCCCAGGGACCCTCATGGTGGAAGGAGAGTTGGACTCCCTCAAGTTGTCCTCTGGCGTCCATGTATGTGCTAAGGCATGTACCATCCTCCAACATAAATTGATATAATTTTAAACTTTTAATAAAGTAAAGCTCACAGAAACTAGTAAGAATCTGATTCCCATCATTTAGAAGCTAGGTGACATTTGACTGTTACAAAGATTACTTTACTCAGGAGGCTGAGGCAAGAAGATGGTTCCAGCCCAAAATTTTGTGAGCTTGTAATTCTCGTAGGGAATGTAACCAGAACTTTTCTCAAAAGAAAAAATTATATAGATACATAGACAGATAGTTAAATACATGGTAGGGTTTTGGATATATAGTCCTAGAAATAATAAATGGTAGAAATAATGATAATAATAGTTTGTTACCAATATTATTGGTAGAAATCTATTGAATTGTTTCTTTGAAGTCATCTGTTTCCCATGTTTATCATAGAAGTCAGGTTTGTTTGTTTGGTTGGTTCCAGCTTCTCATTCTAGAACCCATACTGATTAAACTCATGTACCTCCTACCACAGCTTCCAAGTTCTTGGATTACAGGCATGTGTTACCATGCCTAGTTCTAGTGTGGTTCTAGGACTCCATGTTGACTGTGGGGGGTCACATAGTACACAAGGAAAATGAATATTATTGGTGCTGCTCTGGGCACCATCTTTTAGAAGACTATGTGTTCTCCCCACACCCTTCCCACTGTCAAGTATGGTGTTAGTCACTTTAAATAATAAAATGACCTGGCATCTGAAGCTGCTGGAGGATAAAGTAGGGAATAAAGCTTGAAGTCATCAACACAGAGGACTTTCTGAATAAGACCCCAGTAGGATGGCAGGAAGATGCCATCATTAGGGTGAAGAGGCAGCTTCAGAATGGGCAAAATAACCTTGCTGGCATAAGGTTAGTAAACAGAGTATACAAAGAACTAAAAAACAAATAAACAAAAAACATAACATTGAGGAAACAAAACAACCCAATTTACAAAGGGGCTACAGAACTAAACAGAGTTCTCAAAAGATGAAGCACAAATGACTGAGAAACAGTTTTTTAAAAAGTTCAGTATCCTTAGTTGGGCATGACGGCCTTAATCCCGGCACCTCAGTGACAAAGGCAGGCAGATCTCTATAAGTATGCATCAACCTCAAGTTACAGGACATCAAACCCTGTCTCAACAAACAAACAAACAAACAAGCGAAAAACTTCAGGATCCTCAGTCATCAGAGAAATAAAAATTAAAATTGCTTTGAGATTTCATCTTATCGAATGGCTAAGCTCAGGAATCAAATGACAGCACATGCTGGAGCATTCGAGGAAAGGGGACCCTCCATGGTTGGTGGGAGTGTGGAGAAGCGCAGCTGCTGTGGGGACAAGTGCGGAGGCTCCTTGGGAAGCTAGAACCGTCTGTATCCCTCGTGGAATGCACCCTAAGGACCCTACATCCCGTCTCGAAGATGCTTGTTCACCCGTGTTCTTCGCTGTTCTATTCACGATAGACAGGAAACAGCCCAGATGTCAATCAGCTAATGAATGAAACTGTGGTGCACATACACAAACGTTTTTTCTTCAGCTCTTAAGAAAAATAAAATTATTAAATTTACAAGTACATGATAGAGCTGGAAGCAATCATTCTGAGTAAAACAATCAAGACACAGAGAGATAAACATCTCGTATTTCCTCTCCCTTTCGGGTGCCAGCTATGAACCTTCAGGTGCGTTTTTTCATCTGAAATGCCTGGAGGTCAGGACATAGTACGGGAATGGGGTGAGAAGTTTCAAGGGAGGGGTGATGGGACGCAGTGATGGAAGATTTAAAGAAGACTGAAATAGGAAAAATTAGTTGGGGAGGGGGAGAAGGGGGAAGGGGCAAACAGAACTGAAAGATCTTTTGGGAAGTCGTGTTGAGACAGACTGCTCTGGAACCTTCCTAATATATAAAGCATACACAACATTGTACTATAGTGGGCAGTGCAACACTGAAGAGTTGTAGATTTTAAGAATTATTTTCTCTTTACTGTGTGTGTACATGTGTCTCTGTCTGTATGCCACGTGTCTATGGGTATCTGTGGAGGCCAGAAAAGGGCATTACACCCCCTGAAGCTGGAGTGTGAGCCACCAAGACATGGGTGCTGGGAACCAAAATCTAGCTCTCTACAAGAGCAGCAAACACTCTTTAACCTCCGCCCCGCCTCTCCAGCTCCTCGAGACAATTCTTAAGCACCAGGGAAACTTTTGAATAGAAGCACTGTCCTCAAATTGCATCCCAGATGCTTTTAAGCCTCCTTCCACACCGAAGAAACTCAAATTGGATATATTAAATTATTCATTATGAGTATGATTAATGCACGAAGGAAACCAGGGACCCAAATCGGTGACCACATGCTTAAAGTGCAATCACTGGCTCCACACTGAAAATATCAGTAAATGAGGATAGGTGTTAACCAATGAATGCAGATGTTAAGGTAAATTGTTTACAGCACACAAAGTAACTTTACTTTTTTTAAAGAAAGGTTTCCTTAGTGCTTGTTTTTTTAATTAACAAAAAAAAAAAAAACAGCAGAGTAATCGCACTGCTTAAAGGCTTTCTGGTGCCCTGGAGTGCCTTCACACTAATTAATTTCAATGAGCTTCAACGGATATGTAAGGAGTAACTCCTATTTGTAAAGTCTTTGTTGTCATTGACAAAGGATTAAAAGGTTATTTAGGAGAAAGATACAAAAAATAAAAATAGTTGGAACAAGTAACCAAAAAAAGATCCACAAAGTAGATTGTGTTTGACTGAAAACTCAGAAAACTGAGGCTGGACAGATGGTTAAGCAGGTGAGAGTATTCGCTGCTCCTGTAGAGGACATTTGGGGCAACTAGCCCTATGGGTGTGGCTTTCTCAGGATATGTGCCTAGACAAAACTAAGGTGTGGTCAGAGCCAGAGCAAGCGGTGGAGAAGCGGCTTGTGACTGGCCCTCTTCACCTTGGGCAGAATGGCAGGGAGAAGGCAGCTGGACCAGTGGTGGTGTCTACTTCGTTCTGTATTCGTGAGCTTGTTTTTCCCTTGCATCCCTTAATAAATTACTGAATAGACTTTCGTGGGTCTCACTTCAGGGTTCAGTTTCCAACACCCACATGGTGGCTCATAACAATCTGGCAGTCCAGGTCCAGGGGACTCAACAACCTCGTCAGGCCCCACAGACAGACACTGCACACATTTGGTATACCTACATACCTGCAGGTAAAACACTAGGGAACATAGAGTTTTAAAAGGAAAAATAAGAAAACTGTCCACATAGTTGACAGATGATGAGGATGATGAAGAATGAATGGATGGATGACAGACAACCACAGATAAATAATAGATTGATAAATAACATAGATAACTATAGAGATAGGCCGGGTGGTGGTGGCGCACACCTTTAATCCCAGCACTCAGGAGGCAGAGGCAGGCGGATCTCTGTGAGTTAGAGGCCAGGCTGGACCGACTGCCTCCAAAACAATACAGAGAAACCCTGTCTCGTAAAACCAAAAAAAAAAAAAAAAAACAACAGAGATAGATAGATGATAGGTCACAGGTTAGATAAATGAGACATTATTAACTAATAGATGATAGAAAGATGGATGGATAGATACATACATACATAGACGATAGATAGATAGATAGATAGATAGATATGATAGGTCACAGATTAGATAGGTAAATGATAGATTATTAACTAATAGATGATAGAAAGATGGATGGATAATAGATGATATATTGATAAGCAGACATATGATAGAGCATACATATCTACATGAACAGATGAAAGAAAATAGCTAGATAGATGATAGGAAGGGCTTTACATTTTGAGATAAGCCTTGAAGGATGAGTCCATTTATTATCTCAAAGGCAGAAGAAGGAAAAACAATTTGAGGGTTCACCACTTACCTGGTTTTTCGGCCTGGAAGTTTTCTTCTCGAAATTATTAGTATCTATTGCCACAGGGACAAAGGCCATACAGAGGTCCATGAGAACTCACAGGGTGTGTAACTGAACCCCTGCTTGATGTGTAATGAGAGCATGGCACTAGATGCAGGAAGAAAACAGTGGCCAGCGGTCATTCGGCATGTAGCTGAGTGCTAGGGCTTTCAGAAGAAAAAGGTCCAAGTGTTTAGGGTGGGCGTGTCAGGAGATCTTCCAGGAAAGTGAGAATAGGGTGATCACTCTGACTATTATGCATGTATTATATCAGAACAAGGAGAAACTATAAGCACAAAGATTCATTGCCCATGTCTGTGTGACATTGGTCTGCTCCTTGGAGTCAGAGTAAGGCTCACCCTCACTTAGCCTGGGGAAGCCCAGTCCCATGGCTCAGCCGCTCCAAATCTCAGTTTCCAGTCACAGGGATGCTGTGGAGATTAAACAGAGTAAGGTAGGAGCAACCTTCAGCCAAGTGTGAACAGAGCTCAGCTTTGAGATTCTAGATATAGAGGTTATTCTCATTGGCCAGAAAGAAACTGGTACATTTATCTCTTAGTGAGGTAAGGAAGCCCAGAAATGGTGAGGAAGGCAGTCGTGAACAAGAAATAGAGGCAACACACAAAGGAAAAGCCTGCCATTGGTTAGGCTTTTGGAAGCTCAGACCACAGAATTAAAGGATTTTTTTTTCCTTTGGAAATAGTCACCTGCTGTGGAATATTCCTTTACACTGTGTGAATATCTGTCGCCGTGATTGGTTTAATAAACAAGCTGGCTGGCCAATAGCCAATCAGGATAAAGTTAGGAGGGAGAGCCAAACTGAGAACAATGGGAGGAAGGAGGGTGGAGTCAGAGGAGCCTTCAGCCTGAAGAGGGAGCAGGAGACGCACAAGCCATGCTAGTAAAGGTACTGTCACATGGCAGAGTGTGACTAAAGACTGCATTAACTTAAAATGCAAGAGTTAGTTAGAAAGTGTGCCAGGGGCTGAAGCTGTAGTTTTGTGTGCACTAGGCATGTTCTCTAGCACCTGAAATGCATTGCCAAGTCTGTCCTATACCCTCATTCTCCACGAGAAAGTCTTTCTCCTTCTCTATGCCAAAACGGGCACACAGATCAGCACATGATCTGTGCTAAAAGTTATTCTTTATCAGCTGTTTCTTCCATGGGCCAGAACGATAAATGGGACATTGGGTCACAGGTACTGATACAGATAAAATATGTTCTGAAAATTGGTGGCTTACAAACCAGCCTTTCTCCTCATTGCCAACCACCAATGTATCAGCTGACAGCAAGCAGTAGCAGCCCACAACTGCCAGTGGACAAATATTGATTTCTCTTACACTCCGCAGCAACTGAAGTTGTACACCTGCAAGCGCACACACACAAACACACACACACACACACACACACGCAGAGACAGACAGACAGAGACAGAGACAGAGAGAGATGTAGCTGGGTTTTCTTGTTTTGTTTTGTTTTGTTTTTACTCTTTGGAGACCCACCCCCAGCT